TTTTTTTTTTTTTTTTTTTTTTTTTTTTTTTTTTTGTTTCATGAAAAATCTGCTAAAAATGTTAAAAAGTGCAATCCTTTAACAAAACAGTTCATATAAAAGAATGTCTTAAAAAAGAAAAAAGAAAAATTCACCTTAGATCAATCGAGTTTGTCAAACATTTAATTTGGTAGAAAAGAATATAAATAAAGGTTGGTATGCGGTATTGCTGAATTCATTTTTTTTAAAATTTTTTTGCTGTCATCACAATTAAAAAAGGAACACGTTAAATTCCATTGTTTGTTACGCCGTTCTACCTTGTTAATGCAAAAAATAATTTTATGGTATCTGACACTTTTACCACTGTCCTTTATTCCGCCGATATTTGTCATTTCCTGGTGAATTTGATCAATTATTTAAATTCACTGAATATTATATTAACTACTTTACTTAATCATATAAAAAAACCAACAAGTGTTTTAAACACGGATTAGTAGAAAAATATTGTAGTTTCCAATATAGAAATGGTTAGGTTAGATTCCGGAACATGTTTCTAATTGTTGGAATTTCTTTTCTGCTAAAAAGGATTCATCCCATTGTCTTTCGTGTTATGTTAGCAGACATCCGATACAGAAGAATAATTATATATAATATTATATGTATTCCATGTTTATTAAATTAATAGATATATAATATATTTTTGCATATGGGCTTTTTTTTAAATAATCATGGTTAATTTAATATATCTTTCTATCTCATTATATTACTTAACTAGAGCAAATTGATATGATTTGATATAATTAAGACGTGCGAGTAAATATAGAAGAATTTTTGTTTGGTAAGGATTGCAAGGAACATAGGAAACTAAAAGGAGGAAAATGAGGGCAAAACTTCATCATCCAGTCAGAACAAATTTGGTGTTTTACTACGATAAAAATGTGTTTTTAAAAGGAAATATGTTACACCACATGATGAATAACAACTTACATTTATAAAGAATTGCAGCACATATTTCAAATGGACTAAATTGAAGATCACCATAATAGAAGTAGAGGAAGAATGTGACAATTATATATATAACATAAGTTCAATTTTCTCTTCTTCTCTTTAATTTTCTCTTTTTAATATAATCAAGTATAGATGATTATATTTATACGGGT